TTTTTTTTTTTTTTTTTTTGCAGTTTTTGGCCAGGGCTGGGTTTGAACCCACAACCTCTGGCATATGGGGCAAGTGCCCTACTCCTTGAACCACAAGCGCCACCCCTGATTTTTTATTTTATTTATTTATTTACTTTTTTGAGACAAAGTCTTACTTTGTCATCCTCAGTATAGTACTGTGGTGTCACAGCTCATAGCAATCTCAAACTCTTGGGCTCAAGTGGTTCTCTTACCTCAGCCTCCCAAGTAGCTGGGACTATAGGTGCCCACCACAATGCCCAGCTATTTTTTAGAGACAAGGTCTTGCTCTGGCTCAGGCTGGTCTCAAATTCCTGAGCTCAGGCAATCCACCTGCGTTGGCCTCCCAGAGTACTAGGAGTCCAGGCATGAGCCCCCACACCTGGCCAGCATATGATTTTTTAGAGTATAATTTTGTATTAAGTTAGAATAGCCATGAGATGAGTAGGTTAATCTTGCTCTCCGTAACACCTACTGGGTGACATTTTTGCTATTGAACTTGCCTTGTCAAAACCATTTTATGTTCTGGAATTTGGGCCCTTAAACTATCTTAAAGTTACTCTCTAATTCTGGTCTTGAGAAAAATGTTCAATTTTACAGGATCTGATTGAAATTACTCTAATTTATAAGGTAATTTTATCTAGATGGTGACACTTTAGATTGCAAGTTTTCTAATCTCCATTTATCTTTCAGTTTGAGGATAGTATTTAAGACTGTTAGGATCACTTGATTAGTATCTCTGGGCTTTTGAAAATAATTGGCATACTGTTAATGTTTTTTAAAATTGTTTTAATGGGTAGTTACAGCAGAGAGCACCATAAACGATCAAAGATAGGAATGCTTTGGTTCTAAAATTACTTGGCATGTTAAAGAAGACTAAAGAGAAATACAGTTACTGTTTATGAAGTTTTTCCTATATTGTAACTTTAATTTTCTGGAGATTTTAAATTAAGATCTTATTATACCTGGAGACAACTGTTTCAAGCAGGAGTGAAATTAAGGATCTTTCTTGAGCTCTGAGTTAGTCCTAGGTTGAAAGAATAGATTTATCATTTACTAGCAGAG